TATCATCGATTCTCTTTACTCTGCTGACTGTGTTCGCGGACAAAACCCACGGGAATCGCCGCGTATTCGTGGAAATCGTGTGGAACAGTTGATTCCAGGCGGATCGAATACACCTTTGAGACTGCCTGCCCTCCCTTTTGTCGCTTCTTCGTCGTCCGTTATATAATAGACGCTCTTTGTCGCGTCCTCGGTTTATTCGCTTAATGGTGGATTAGCTCAACTCTACGACTCGTTCAGCCAACGAGTTTGTGGAGGTCTTGGACTGGAAAATATCCTGAAACGAAGAGACAAACTGTAAACTCTCTTGTAAAACGTTGAATATTAATTTGTAGGAGATCTTCAAGTTAGTATAGAAATTTTCCAGTGATTATTGTTAATACACTCACTTACTTGTGTTTTATACATGTTGTGTTGTTTCTTAATTCACTCACTTTCTTAATTCAATTTGTTTCTTAATTCACTCACTTACTTGTGTTTTATACATACACGATTGTTTCAATTGTACATGTTTTCAATTATCTGCTTTCAATTATCTTCATATTTATATTTATATTTTGAACAACGACGGTCCATTTAAGATGCTCAGTTGCGACAGGATAACTTCCGTAATCACTTGGAATTACAGGAAGGTCGTGGCATTCAGAGCCTCGGTAATTCTAGAGTCAGAATTTCAATCCGAAAATGTCAGAAGAGTTTCAACGAAAATTCACGGCGGTTTTTGCGGACGTTGGCGAGCCAATTTTCCTGCTGGGTGCGAGTGCCCTTGCGACTTCCGGTCCGCGCGAGCCATCCCGGTTTTATTCAGCGTCCTTCATTTCACTTGCAGATTCCGCGATTCCCTTTCGACCCGCATTATCTGTGCGCTTTAATTCAATTGTCATTCCTCAATTGTCAAGCTCTCTGCGCTGAACTGCTGAAAATATAGCCGCGGTAAAATACAACACGTCTGAAATCGATAAATGTAACGATACTCACGACACGACTCGTGGAATGTGTGTCCGTGAAACTTCATCGTCGAACTTTCTTTCTTTCTCAAGCAGGCATTTATCAAATTTCTCTTTTCTTCCACGAAAATTTGCGTTTTAACGTTCCTTTTTTTTTCCAGGCTAATCGTAGTTCTTTTTGTTTGTTTGTTAAATGTTTAAAAACTGGACTGTGGAGAACTCTGTTGAAATTTTGGTCGTCCGATTGTGAACTTACAGGTACATTTAATACAGTAATATGTGCATTTTGTCAACGAGTTGGTTCTTCGATGGAAGAGTCGAGTGGCGCCGCTCGCCTAAAAAAGTTAAATTCCACGTGGTTAATTAGTCCTTTGACGCGGCGTATTTTCAACGAGCGTGCAAACACCGATGCTTCTCGACAGTGCAGGCATCCCTACGTGGTTGGTTCCAATTGCATCCGAATTTCATCCGTGTGAACGAATCGAGACACCGTCCGAACGTCCCTGGTATTTTATACTCAGGGTCAACTTAGTGCAACTAAGAACGAATTATATAACGCGTTTTCATGTCAACAATTTATTAAAATAAACAAGTGCAACTTTTTGCAC